TCCATCCATCCATCCATCCATCCATCCATCCATCCATCCATCCATCCATCCATCCATCCATCCATCCATCCATCCATCCATCCATCCATCATTCCTCTATCCATTTGCCGTATCTTGATTTCCTCCTGTAGGGTGTGAGACATTTATGGACATCGTTATTGTTCTGGATGGTTCCAACTCCATTTATCCTTGGTCGGAGGTGCAGGACTTTATCACAACAATCTTGCAGAAGTTCTACATTGGCCCAGGTCAGACACAGGTTTGTACCAAGACGCACGACCAGGGTTAAAGCTGTATCAAAGCTGGGTGTATCATTATCTTATCATTTCAAATATTGATCCAATAAATAGCAGCCACAGTGAGACGTTACGTGTGTATTTTGCATCACTCGTTACATGTTTACCTCTTTGGGAAATTCTTTATTCAGAAGGTAATGCCAAACATGTGATTTGATTGTAGGTGGGAATTGTTCAGTATGGCTCCACAGTGGTCCATGAGTTTAGTTTAGGTGAATACCAGACAGTGAAGGATGTGGTCGAAGCTGCCAAGAACATTGACCAACGCGGTGGAGAGGAGACAAGGACAGCACTGGGGATCAATGTGGCACGGTACGATGCACAACTATTAAATAAGTATGTTTCACCATGCTTAAATATTATTTCTGAATTTTATGAGTCCTATACTTTTAATTTGTAGACCGTGCTTTTGGTGGAACATGGTTAAACTTGTATTCCATCAAGTGTTCAGATTGTGGCAAAAGTCTAAATCTAATATGTAGTTTTCTTAGTGCACTCTTTGACAAATACTTATATTTGTTTACGAAGTGAATGAATGAACAAATGCAAGAATGCTTAATATGATACAGAGTATCTATAGAACATCTTTTCATTTTCCTCCAGGTTGGAGGCCTTTCAGCGGGGCGGCAGGCCAGGAGCTCAGAAAGTGATGATTGTGATCACAGACGGTGAATCGCATGACAGTCCTCATTTGATGGAAGCTGTCAGTCAAAGCAAGGATGACAATATCACCATGTATGCTATTGCTGTGAGTCCCATCTAATACTTTTACAATTTAACATATGTTTCCAATCAAAGTCAGAGGCAGAGATGGGGGATCTGGAGTCAACATATCATCGCTATGTCATGTATTTGTTTTGCCCAGCTATTCAACCAGGTAAGTCCAATCTTGTTTCACCTGTGCAGATTTATGGTGTCACAATTATTTCAAAACGCCCGTTAGCAAAATAAACATACTTGTATGTACTGTATGTTAAACTACTTCTAAGCATGCTTTATATACCACTGCACAACAAA